TACCAGTAGCGCTGAAAGAGCACTGATGTGTATATTGTTTGTATTGTCTTTATTTTATGTATAATAAATGTTTAAGCATAATATATCTATTTTATTAATTGTGAAAATGTATGCGTGTGTACAGTGCGAGTGTATGATAAGGGTATCTCCAGTAGGACCCCTCCGGGGGTGTATAAGCCCAATTTTGGCGGGCTTACAATATATAGATGAGTCCACGCTTGAATCACTAATGTAATGTAATACATAGTGACTCAATAGTGACACTTATTTTGTGATTTTCACTACAATTAGAAAAATTGACCAATAAAACAATAAACCATATATTACATGAATTATTTATAATGCACTCGCCTAACAATCGTATATACTTATCTGATAATTGGAACGGGATGGAATCGGGCTGTTTTAATAATAAATTTAAAATAATTTCTAGTAAAAATAAACAACAGTTAAAATATGGTCATCATGTCGTAACGCATCGCCTGTAAACGCCTCATAGGCATGTCACAAGAGTGAGCCACAAGTCATATAGCTTGACGTTTCATACAATTAACGAATCATTCGTAGGTTAATGAACACTAACCACTACTGTTGGGGTAAAAATTTGCGCCATAAACACAAGTCTTCGGTATTACGCAAATGCTGTATATTAATAAAAGCATTATTTGTTAAACATTTGTAAGGCAAACAAAAAAAGGATTAAAACAGTCAAAAAGTATATATTAAAGTGTACTATCCAATTTATCAATAAGCTCGTTAGCGTCTGAATGTACCTTTTGTAATGAAAATACATAAATGACTAATATTGCAATATAAAGTTATATGTGATAAATATAAATGTTCGCTTTAACCATGTGTCAACTTTAGCTTCACTTCACGATAAATATGTTATTAATGTTAATCATCCTAATCAGAGTCTGTCATAGACGACCCATAAGGTATACTTTGCCTCTATGCTCTCATAGGAAATACATTATAGCTCAGCCCGTGAATGCCCAAATATGCACGCACTGCTATACCCTGATCTTAATCAATGATGTTTTGATCAATAATTTCTCTATATATTAACTGGCAATATATAGACGTTCATAGATTTTATGAATATTTTTGCGATTGTTATGAATATTGATAAATATGAATATCAATATGTTGCGAATATGTTGATAATATTGTAAACGGAAATGTCCGCAGATGTGCCAACTAGTTGAAAAACTACCCCTCATGTTAGTGTTGAGCAAAATTCATTGCTATTAGATTGACATCGTTGAAAACAATTTATAAATAATTAAAACAAATAAACAAATATGTTTATTAATATAAATAATATCTAAATAGTCATTTTATTACAACATAAATAATTAATAATAGACATTTTTATCAAATATTAATATAAACTAAACGATGTTAAATTTTAAATAAATATCAAATAGTACACATCGCCATAATGATTAGAAGTTATATTGGGCAACAGTTTGCCCCCTCGCATGTTGTTGTACTGTCGCACTCTCCTGTGTTGTAAACCAATATAAATATAGTTAAATGTTTTAATATATTTAATTAATTATTTAATTTCATTAAATTAAATTATGTTATTGTAGACCTTGATCACCATTGACCATGATTATTTGCACCAAACAAATAATCCACAATACGAGGCCCAAAATTTTAACCAGATCAAACATTTCTTGTATGAAATGATATTGGTGGATTTAAAATACTAATAAATATTTTTAAAAATTATTAAAGTTATAATAAATAATAAACTTAATAGAAATTTCATTACTTACGGAGGAGTTTCGCAATAACTTTTACAAATAATAATTAGATTTATTTAAGTTTCAATGTTAACTTTTTAACTCTAATTTATAGAATGAATAAAATATAAATATAATTTAACACTTTTTAAAGTTTACAATTAAATGATAAAATTTAAAATTTACTTTAAATTGTCGTATGGTTTTAAATTAATTTTAAAATATTAATTATTAAACAAGGTTAACACAGCCACCATTCGGGTTTTGCTTAAAAATTGTTTTGTAATATTAACAGATTTTATATGAGCCAAATAGATACAACGGTAGTCTTATAAGATAAGCATTATCCATAGCCTTAGCATTGCCCTTGACTTATCATTAGTAATTATCATTAGTGATTCACTACTCATAGACTTAACATCGCCATATACTTAGCACTAACAATCTTAATCTATGTTTCCCATGGTAAATCTATGTTATAGTTTTAAGCTGTTATGTTATAAAAATCTATTATCAAGATCCCATGTTAAACCTATGGAAACTTTTTCATGTTAAAGTATAGTCCTAGAATTAACATGGAATTTCATGTTTAACCTTATAGTGTGGGGGTTAATAAGGCGGTGACAGAACTATCCTACAAACAACATTCTTCCTAAATGAATTGTGGTTAGTACACACATGGAATTACATATAAAATTACAAATAATTTTGAATCTAATAGCGAACAATTTTTAAATTATTAAATTAATAAATAAAAAGTTAGATGTAAAGTTTATTTTATAAAGAATGATGACCGCATCCAAATAGGGTCTGCGATCATATGCTTTGTCTGATCGTTATATACAATGAAAGAGATCTCACAAAAAAATATATTGATATGTATTTTCATCATACACTTAAAATTAGCCAATAAGATTAACACTATTCATATACTTATATATTTATACTTTTAGACTTTTTGGCAATCCCCCCTCCCCCGAATACCCCCTCCACACCCCCGCATTTTTATATGATTCCTGTCTACTACCTTCTTTCTACAGTTTCAGTGGCTTGTTTCATAAAGAAACTTAAGTCCATTTTTTTAACTTAAGTGAATTTCCGTTTCATAAAGAAATGCAAGAAAAGTTCGTAAGTTTAAGTTTAAGTTAGGCGTAAGTCTAGAAGCAAAGAGTTAAGTTGCCCTCAGGTTATATTTGCGTTTCAATAAACATTGTAAGTCCTAATTTGTGCGCTTAATGTACGCCAACCCTTGCCTTCACTCTACCCTCACTTTGCATATGTTTTGTATGCATAGAGAGGAGAACGCGTGTGTAGAGTGTGTGTATGTGAAGTGAGTGTCCACTTCACTGCAATACCCTCTGTGATGTCCAGTGCATAAAAACTGGTTTTGAACATTAAGTTTAAGTTAAGTCCAAGTTTTTTTGAGAAACACAACGGAACTTAAGTTAAGTTCAAACTTAAACTTAAACTTACGCTAAGCGATGTACCTGAAACGCGCCACAGATGTTTAAAGTTGTATATCTATTACATTGAAAATTATTTGTAATTACAGTCCGGCCCCGAATTTGGCATGTCATTGGTGCTGTCAAAAAGATGTGCCAAAATTGAGTTCTGCTAAAATCGGGGTCATTAGCAGTGCTAATATGACTCGCTGGTGCTAACAAAATCTTATGCTAAAATCGAATTCTGCTAAAATCGCGTGTGCCAAAATCGGGGCCGTTCTGTATATATTTCCTATAGTTTTAATAAATAATATTTCGAAATTAAAATTAATTTAATATCGTACGATGTTTTAAGAAAATTTTAATTAAAAATTAAATTAATAATACGATTACATATTTATTCTCTATTACATTGAAAACTGTGTAATTCTATAGTAACTTATATCTTAACATTTTATTTCTAATACAGTTTTAATTTATCGCATTTATTATAAAATTAATTAAAACATTAACAATAAGGAACTTTATAGTAAAACATAATACATCATTTAAATATAGATCATATCTGTATAAATAAATAAATTAGTAAAATAAGATAAATACTTTAAAAAACACTCACAAAATAAATAAACCAAAATAACCTTAGCGACTCAAATAAAACCCCTTATTAGCACCAAGCTCATTAGTAATACCTCTCAACACAGCCTCAGCTTTAGCGAGAGTTTCATCGCTTTTAATAAAGCAAAATCTCACCAAACCTTCGGCCAAATGCTTATTATCCGTACTGTAAAACACAGTTAACGGAACCGCCTGTACGCCACGGGCGGACAGCCACCGGACAAACTCAAACGTTTTACCCCTCTTATCATAATAAGCGGTCAAATCTAGCCTATCTATGAGTGCCCGGCATTCGGCCACCATATAATAGCCCCCTTCGGGCACCATTGGCTTCAGACCCATGTCGGTCAACATATCGTACATTAGGGCTCGCTTTTTGTCCAACAGTGCGCACAGTTGTGTCCAATACATACTGTCCACGTGATTGAGCTGGAGTTTATCAAGTTCAATTTCAAACGCTCGCGCGGCTGCTTCTTGAATAGGTGTGGGACAACAGTAAACGCTGGCCATATGGGCCAGTGTTAGCGCGTGTCTAATGCCCGGGTGCCCAGTGATGGCCCAACCGCACCGCCAACCGGTCACGTTGAACGCCTTGCCCAGACTGCCGATGGTCACTGTGCGCTCGTACATGCCCGGCATCGAGGCTATTAAGTTTAAATATGGTTAGTGTTTTGGTGCTATTATTGATTTATGTGAAATATGTGTGTTTTTACCAAGTCTACAGTGTGTGTTATTATCATAGGTAAGCCATTCGTACACCTCATCCATGATAGCGATTGTATCGTATTTTTGACATAACTCTCCGATTCTCGACAATTCTGATGCAGTGAATACCTATTGATAAAAATATGTACAGTTTTATGCATTCATTTATAGTTATTTTTAAATGCTGTTCTCTCTCTCTCTCTCTCTCTCTCTCTCTCTCTCTTTCTCTCTCTCTCTCTNCAGTGATGAATAATTATATTACTGATTGAATAGCAAATTGTATTGATTTAATAAATTAGAACATTTATCAAAATATCATATGATTTTATCGTGTTTTAAACAATAATATAGCAAGCAAAGTAAAGATTAAAAACAAAACTTGAAAATGTAAAACAAAATTATTTCACAATAAAAAACATTGCACTGAAGATAAATAACAATCACTTATTTACCGTAAATTACATATAAATTGCGAAACAAAAAACAAATCAATAAAAACATAATTTCAATACCATGTTGACAAAAAAGCACAAGTTCATGTTGATAGTAATGCTTTACTAACCTTTCCCAATGGATTATGCGGTGTATTGATTATGATAAGCCGAGTATTATGATTAAACTTTGCTTCCAGGTCAGCAAAGTCTAATTCCCAACCATCAGCTCCGGTAATATCATTATTATTACCATAATTACAGGTGTCGACCCGTTTGAGTGCCGTATGCACGGGTACACCGCCAGCAGCTCTAGTAATCATGGCATAGGCATCGTAGGCCGGATCAATTATGATCACTTCATCACCATGGTTAATTAGGCCGTACAGCGCGCAGTGTATGGCCTGATAGGCGCCCAGCGTTATCAGGATGTTGTCATCTTTCATCTCGTTGTTCAGTAGGTGTGAGTATAGTTTAGCCAACACTTTCACTAATCGCGGATGACCCTGTTTGATTGAGTTATACAACCGAGTTGTATATTTATTAGTATAGGTAAATACGGATTTCAATAAGGATCTAGGATATTTTTATCAAGTAAACAATTATTTATAAATGATACTTTTACTTTTATTAATTTTTTGTTATTGTCGTTACAGATTTGGTAAACATAAATAAAAATAACTTATTAAATGTCTTATTTATAATTGCTGATGATTATAGTAATAGATAATGACTTATTTACTTATACTACTACAACTACACTTACACAGTATGTAATTAACTAGCATACTGTAATTAGTTAGGTTAATGTCACGTGTGATCGGCTAGCTCAGTCGGTAGAGCATGAGACTCTTAATCTCAGGGTCGTGGGTTCGAGCCCCACGTTGGGCGCAAAAACTCTTTTTAAAACTTTTGAAAGATTTGAGAATTTTAATTTTAACTTTGCTTGCTATATTATTGTTTAAAACACGATCAAATCATATGATATTTTGATAAATGTTCTAATTTATTAAATCAATACAATTTGCTATTCAATCAGTAATATAATTATTCATCACTGAAATGCTACTAAATCTAAAATAAACTTTTCTATAATTTTATTCTAGCTGTACGGACCATGATAAAGTAGATGTATCAAGCTTACCGGACTTTTTGTGTATTGATGTAGGGAATAGTTGCCATCGACTAACACATCGCACATGGCGTCCATAATAGACTGTGGCTGGGCGTTGAAGTCCGGCATTCCCATACCTAGATTAATTGGTTTATTCACTTCGACCATGTGCGCGATGTCGGCCCTATAACAATAATTGAGTTATTTGTTTTATTAAGCTAGTTATTTTTATTAAATACAATACCAAAATCTTGGGTCGAGTCCAGCGTAACGATCGGCGGGTTTGACTAAGTTTGACATTATTGTACTTAGGTTAGTTATAATTTGGCGTAATTATATTTTTTAAGTAAAAATTTACAGCGAGTAGTCCTAGCATTACTTTAATTACTTTTTTTAACAAGATTTATTATTAATATTATTATTGCAAGTTTTTGGCTTTATATACAATAATTAAAACGGAAGTTCCTATAAATTAGTAGCCGAGATGCCCTCGATTATTTATGGAATATAACTTTTATCAATTATACCTGCAATAGATATTAAATAAACACATGACCAATAAAATTTATACCATGCGTATACATAGGTAATACAATTATGCAATATTTAAAAATCAAAATACTATGGTAAGACTATTTACAATGATTTCATCTAGCGAACTTGCATAATTTTAATTAAGCACATATAGGCGTATAACTGAATAGGCGTTTATTTTATGTTTATGAGTAAACAACAATTTCAAGCGAACAGAATTACATAGATTACTGATTCACACAACAAAATAGATAACATATTGTTTGTATTTATCTGTTATATAAATTGTAATATATTTCCTGGAAATATATATACAAGCAACAAATGAGTTTATTTATATCACATTATGATCGCCACAGTCGCCAAATATAATCGTGATTGTTTAATTTTATTAATTAATCATTCCGACTGATTTAATAATTAATCAATATATAAAAGCCGTCCAGGCGTATCAAAATTAATAATGATGAATCAATCAAATTAATTATTTTATAATTACAAATTCTAACATTTAATATCACGCTAGTTTTATAATGTTAATGTTCTTGTCAAAAACAAAATTAATAACCCATTTTTAAAAGTAAAAGTTTTATAAAATGTTTAATAAAAATATTGCTTAAAGATAAAATACAAAAAGGCCAGTTTTTAAACCTTATTACAATAGGGTCATTTTAATCCACGGTCATTTTAATAGATAACCTACGGGTAATGCACGAAATATTAGGGTAAACACTGTTTACTAAACATAAGATAGATTTTCATAATAAATCCATAATACGTATGCTAGTTCATATTTGGCCTATATTTCTTACATCCTGGTCATAAAATAGTTTTCAATTGACATAAACAATAAATATTGAAATTGATAATTATGTAAATCAAATCATCTATCAATTAAAGGGTAAATTTCATACGACTTTCGTAATAATTAATATCAATAACAATAATTATTATTAATACAAAATCATATCGGCGCTAATCTACCGGTGCACATTGTCTGTGTTAAGTAAATATTTGCTTATTTCCAGTGTCGCACACATGTGGCCACACTATTCACACCTATAATTTAAGATATATAAAGGATATTAAATATTATTATAAAGTTTTTATTATGCAAACAATTATTTATTTATTTTTACATTTAATTAGTTTATTATTTATATATAACTTTTTTTTATAATTGTTTATAAAGTGAAATCTTATGTAACATAAAGATTTTATTGTATTTAATATTACATTTCATTAATATTTATTTTATTGTTAATAAACTTTTATTTACAAAATAATTTTATATCACACAAAAATATATACTTAAAGGGATCATTATTATAACTTACAATAATTTTAATTATAGTTGTATTCATTAATTTTGTTTTAAACGCTGTGTTAATAAATACTTAATAACAATGGAAGTGGAAAGTAAAATAACCAAAAAATCTAGATGGGATTCAATAAGCTTTTTACAAAAATTATTTTTAACGTAAGTTACATTTTATTAACAAAATATTTACAATTAACTTATTAAAAAACATATATTTTTAAAACTTATAATTTATAAAATCTTTATTTATAAACAAATATAATTACCCTAATTGTCGGTTCAGTTGGGTTTACCCTCTATTCTGGAAAGGCTGGCGAACAGAGAGTCTATCGTACGAACCCTTGAGCCGATGCTCTAAAGACGATGAGGCGCTTGTAGTGGTTCAACAATTGGAAAGGTAAGTTATTACTGTTATTACTTTTATTAGTACTGTTATTAAATTTAAACCATGGCAAATTTAAACATAACAGAAATTGGGACATTGAACTCCGTAAGCGTAAACCTAAATTCTGGTGGGCGTTGCTTAAAACTTTTGGCCTACAGTTTATAATCCCGGTCACTATTTTTGGCATCGGGGTAAGAAATTGAGATTTTTAAAAAAAAAATTGTAGCCCGAAAATCTAGATTGAATTTAATTACTATAAATAAGTTAATTTTTGTTTAATTGTTACCTAACAGGAATGTGTAGTACGAATTGGTCAGCCCCTACTTTTAGGTTTTGTGATTGACTATTTCAGCGGGGCCAATTACATGAGCTACCAACATGCCTGTATGGCTGCGGGTGGTATTGTAGTTTGCTCAGCCCTGTACATCACTCTACACCACCCGTGCCTAATGCGTAACCTACAGGTGGGCATGAGATTGCGTAACGCGTGCACTACTCTCATGTACCAAAAGGTATGAGCGCTTACTTAATAATCAATCTTTTAAAGTACATAATTTATTTTAATTACTTTTAAAAATTTGTGTTTTTTGGTAATGACCTTTATCACAAACAAATGCGAAATGTTATAATTTTTATAATAAGTTGTGCTAAAGACATTTATACTACATATACAGTACATGTACTATAAATTAATAAATCAATAAGATTAATTTAGATCAAGTGTAATATATTGAATAGTAAACAATAAACAGGTAAATGTAATAAGATAATAGCGTACATGATAAATCACTATTTTCTCAAGTGCCAATTCTCAAAGACTTTACATGTACTGTACATAAAAAATATTATTGATAAATTATTAATGAAAAACATTACAGTATTACATTAATAATTTTAGATTGACTTTTATAATAAAACACCTTTGCTTATTTATTTAAAAAACTAATTAAATATTTACCATATTTTAAAATGAAAGTCTTTAAAACTGAGTCAATCATCGCTGGCGAAGACAACTGTCGGCCAAATAATCAATATTATGTCCAACGATGTCAACCGGTTTGATGAGGTTAGTCACTACCAAACATGTCATTTTTGGAAATAAAGTATTTGCTAAATGTTTACTCTTGATCGTAGTTTGCAATTTCAATGACATGCGTGATTGTGGGGCCCATACAAGCCGTACTAGTTATTTATATAACATGGACATATTTGGGCAATTCAACGGCGGTGGGACTGGGCCTGTTTGTGCTATACATACCATTCCAGTTGATCATGGGTAAACTATTTTCGCGCTGCAGGTAATTTTATTTTAATTGTAGATATAACTTATATTATATAAGTAATAACAGAGTAAAGTTGAATTAAATCAATAACTAATTGTATCTAGACAAAAAACGGCAAAATTAACGGATGCCCGATTACGGCTAATGAACGAGATTATTGCTGGTATGAGAGTGATCAAGATGTACACATGGGAGCAGTCATTTTCGGACTTGGTGTCCCAAGCTAGAAAGTAAATTTACGTGATAAACAAATACATGTTGCTCTAATTATAATTATTTCAATAATTAATTATATTAATACATATTTAATTAACCTAGGTTAGAGGTGAATGACATACGCAAAGTGTGTTACTTAAAAGCGATCAATCTGTCACTATTCCTGATCGCCACCAAGATTATATTGTTTTGCTGTTTCCTAACCTATGTACTATTAGGCCACGCTCTTAGCTCTAAGAGCGTGTTTGTCACAATGGCCCTGTTCAATATGCTCCGAATCACATTAACCTGGATATTTCCCCAGGGTATAGCCCAAGGGGCCGAGCTACTGGTCACTTGTCGTAGGATACAGGTGATTTACTTAACTTAATTGATATAGTTTAATTGTAAAGTTTAAGTTCCAATAATTTATTTAATACTTTAATATTTCTAGGATTTTCTCGAACTTGATGAAAAAGAGCCGATGCCTACAGACCCTGTCAACAGCGGCTATAAAACTAAAAATATAAATCAATATATGAATGGTGGTAAAAATGGTTACAAAAATAGCCCAATACTCAACAATGTTAATAATAACTGCACAGGGCCAATTAGTGTTAATGTAAATAATATTACCGCTAAATGGAATCAGGCAAGGGCAAATAAATTTATAAATAAATATTAAATAAATAATTATTTGTAAGTTTAAATTTTCTATTTTTTACTTACTTGAATTAGGACATTAAAAAGCCAACATTAGACAATATTTCACTACACCTAAAACCTGGTGATTTGTTAGCGGTGATTGGTCCTGTTGGGTCAGGCAAAGTAAGTACACTGCTGCTTTTATAAGCGTATTTAATGTTACATAAATTAATACAAATTAATTAATTAAACTAGAGCTCACTGTTAATGGCACTGCTCCGGGAACTGGAGCTATTGAGTGGGTCTATTCATATCGACGGCACCGTTAGTTACTCAGCACAAGAGCCGTGGAGTTTCAACAATAGTGTCCGAAATAACATATTGTTTGGCCGGGAATACGACGAACGCCGGTATAGAGATGTGGTACGAGTGGCTGCACTCGAACGGGACTTAAAGATATTCCCGTTCGGCGATCGGACACTAGTGGGCGAAAAGGGTGTGTCACTCAGTGGTGGTCAAAAAGCCAGAATAACGTTAGCAAGGTGACTAAAATAAGTTTATTTTAAAAATAACTATTGTCAATTAACAACAGTATAATTCTAATATGCAATATCTTTTCGCACAGATCTCTGTACAGAAACGCCGACATATGCCTTATGGACGACCCGTTATCGGCTGTGGACGCGGCCGTTGCCGAACATATATTTGAACAGTAAGTCACCTTGATTATTATGGCTTATATACATGTATGTTGCACACATTACCATGTTTAACTGAAAAATACATTTAGTTTATAAAAACTATGAAAATACAAAACAACTGTAATAAAGTTATAATTAATAAAATTTATTATGTCTCCATAATTTAATGTTATTACTATTGGTCGGATCACTAGTGAGCAAAAAATTATTACCTATTTTATTGTTTCAAGTTTTTAAATCTACATATAGTATTTGAAATATTTTTCATACATTATTATGTTTAGCAAGAATTTACAATAAGAATTATAAATACAATACGATTAAACAGTTAATACAAAATGTAACTCAAATATAAAGCTTTACTTAAAAACAAAACTTTATATCTAAATAATTTATATTGCTTTGGTGAACAAACTTTAATTATAAACTAGTGTATTTAAGTAAATTTATTTATATTCTAAATTATTTAATGACAGTAAAAAGTGTAAAACTCCAATTTATATTAATACTTCTCATTAATGTGAGCTGCAATAAATAATGAATTGTAAAATACTGTACATGTTTATGCGTAAAAACAAACTGTAACACAAGCATTATTCATAAATTATGTTATAGCAATCATTAACATAAAACTATTTATGACACAACTTGTCAATCAAATAAAATTATATTGTTTTATATCATCGACCTTATATCTTTACAATGTAATCAGATCATCTTTTTATAGATTGCTATTTACATGGTATTTTAATAATGATAATAATTTTGCTAATCACATATTGTATGTACACTCTGTCAGGTGTATAGTGGACTACTTGGGGCCCAAAATCCGAATACTAGTTACACATCAAATCCAATTCATACGAAAGGCTACGAAAATCCTTGTGTTAGACGACGGAAAGTGTTTAGCTTTGGGAACGTTTGACGAACTGTTGGCCAAAGGCTTAGACTTTATGGCACTAATCGACGGCGACGACGAGGACGCGGACGCAGTGGTGGCCGAAAGCGAGGGCTCGAGTGTACACACGATGTGCAGCGAAACGGACACTAAATCACAACAATCGGCGGTCACTGTTAGGGCCGACTCTGTTCGCAGTAGGCGTAGTGTACGGCGCCGTAAAAGCTCTGCCATTACGGTAAATAATTTTATAACTTATACATCCACCAAATTTTTAAATACATGATTATTTTGTTTTGTTATTCCCATAGAAACAAACCTCTGTTATTGAGGCCCAGGAGGAGGAGGAGGCGCCCCAAATACAGGACGAACAACAGACAGTGGGCTCAATCGGGGGTCGGGTGTACTGGGAGTACATCAGAGCCGGCTGTGGTATAATACTGGGCACACTTACTATACTGTCCACCTGTATATCGCAGACAATTTTTCACGCGTCGGATCTATGGCTAATGCAATGGTAATTAACATAGAAATTTAAATCAATCATGTACTATATTATGTACAATTATATAATAATTATCATTATTAACCCATAGGACTAACAATGAGGAAACACAGTCGAAAGAGAAAAATAATTTCGCCCTGATCATTTACTCAGTACTAATTGTGGCGCTACTGCTGTCAACAATGGTCCGGTCAATGACATGGTTTGCCATTTGTATGATTGCCTCTAAACGTCTGCACAACACTATATTCATACGGCTATTGAGGGCACCGATGGCTGTGTTTGATAACAATCCCATTGGTAGGTAAACGCATTGAATAAAATAGCATTATTAACAATAATTAACAAATATTGTCCCCCTATTGTTTCAGGTCGTATACTAAATCGATTCACTAAGGATCTGGGTATTATTGACGAGATGTTGCCATCCACATCATTTGATTTGAATCTGGTAATAAAATTGAAACCTGTCAGCCATGCAAACTATATATCTAATTATATTAATTATTTTGATTACCATAATGCCAGACCGTATCGCAAGCAATAGGCATACTAGTGGTGGTGTATAATAAACCCCTATTTAATAATACCGGGTGTAGTGCTGTTTGCGCTGACAATAGCCGTCCGCGGGGTATACATTAAAACTGCACGTGATATTAAACGGTTGGAGGGGCTCAGTAAGTGTATTACTCTATTCATTCATAATCAAAATAGAAATAATCTAATTATTAATATTTGCATACAGCTCGTAGTCCAGTGTATTCACACGTGAGCACCACACTTAACGGGTTGGCCAGTATCAGAGCTTACGGCGCTCAACAGGCATTTTGTAACCAGTTTTACACCTACCAAAACGACCATAGTGCTACCTGGTTTGTTTTGCTGGGCGCGTCGCGTACGCTGGGACTAATTGCCGATTGGTTGTGTGTCATCTATTTAGCTGCCGTGGCCGCCGTTATAATGGCATTCCAACATGGTAATTACATAATTTAGGGTTAGGTTCAAAATACAATTTTAACCCAATTGGTTTATTTATACGAAAACATAGGAATCTCTAGTGGTAACGCTGGTCTGGCATTTGCATCAGGTATAGTTTGCTAGAAATAATTTGTAACAAGTAATTAATTATTTATACTTAATTAAATTTATTACATTAATTGTTTTGCATTCCAGCCCTTATGCTGACGGGTCAGACACAGTTCGGTGTGAGACAGTCGGCAGAGTTGGAGAGTCAGATGACTTCAGTCGAGCGCATCATTGAGTACACAAAACTACCGCAAGAGGCGGACCTACTGTCCACTGATCAGAACCGACCGAAACCCCAGTGGCCACAGACCGGGGGTATAGTCTTAGACCACATGTCGCTCATCTACGACAGCGCACCCGACAAACCGGTGCTCAAAGACATCACTTGTGAGATAAGGGGCGGCGAGAAGATCGGTATCGTTGGCCGGACGGGTGCGGGCAAGTCGTCCGTCATATCGGCGTTGTTCCGTATGGTTGAGCCCACGGGTCGTATAGTCATCGATGGTGTGGACACCAAAGTCATTGGTTTGCATGACTTGCGTCGGGCGCTGGCAATCATACCTCAGGAACCGGTAGTGTTTTCGGGTACAATGCGCCGCAATTTGGACCCCTTTGGCCAGTACTCGGACCCCGAAATGTGGGCGGCTCTGGAGGAGGTGCAGCTCCGGGCGGTTGTGGATGAGCTGCCCGGACGACTGGACGCCGAGCTTAGTGAAGGGGGCTCTAATTTTAGTGTAGGTCAGCGCCAGTTAGTGTGCTTAGCCCGGGCTATACTGCGCCACAATAGGGTACTAGTGCTCGACGAGGCGACCGCTAATGTTGACCACCAAACCGATGCACTCATACAGACGAGTATACGGACCCACTTTCACGACTGCACTGTACTTACGATAGCCCATAGGCTTAACACTATTATCGATTGCGATAGAGTTATGGTTAGTGTTTTGATTAATTAATATAAATTATTACTATAGTTTATTAATATTGATTTAAAACATATTTAACCTAGGTGCTGGACGCTGGACAACTTTTAGAGTTTGACTCTCCGCACAGTCTACTCGAGAAAAAGGGCTTATTCTATGACATGTGCCAAAAGACTGGCCCCGATATGTATCAGCACTTGGCTGTAGCGGCTCGCGAGGCATTTGCCAAAAACTTACCACGCTCATATTTGTAAATAATCTTTTATTCTCGTCAAATTGTATTTAGAGTGAATGAGTTATTATACAAGAAAAAGTTTTTTTAATTTATAGCAATTTTATTTATTTGTTAATTTTGTTTAATAAAAGGTTTAATTGTTTTAAATCATTAAATAATATTAATTTATTTTAATAATAATATGTAAGTTTAAAGATTATCTATTATATTATAATTTTTAATCTATAATTGTGTTTAGTAAATTAAATTTTGTTAAAGATTATGACTTTATGTTTTAACATTGTTTTTATTGAAAAAATATATTTTGAGCTGGTTTATATAATTAATTATATTAATTGTGACTATTTTAGTGTAATTATTGACAATAATGATTTTCATTCATTCTTTTAGCATACTTTTGGTAGATTTTTAGTCTCTCTCTCTCTCTCTCTCTCTCTCTCTGCGATCAGGGTT